GAAGAGTGACTTTAGTAGTTGATCAGTACATATTGTGATTTGGTGGGCTTGGAAGTAATGTCTGAGCTTCCTAGCTGAGCTAATCAGTGCCAGGGCAAGTTTTTTCAACGGAGTATACCTCGATTCTGCATCCAAGAGCATCTTGCTCACATAGAAGATGAGTTCCATCTTTCCACAGTCATTCCCCATCAATGCTCCATTTACAGCGTGTTCTGATACAGCCAGATAAAGGTAAAGTCCTTCTTCGGGTGTCGGAGTCGATAGAATCGGTGGAGATGCTAAGTATGCCTTCAGCTTTGTAAACGTTTCCTCACATTCCTAACTCCAGAATTCTCCCTTCTTTCCTTTGATTGACTGAAAGAAGGATCTGCACTTTATCAGATGCGCGAGATATGAATCTCTCAAGTGCTACTGTCATTCCCATTAGCCTCTGCACCTCTTTTATAGTCCGAGGGGATTATAGTTCCGCAATGGCCTTTACTTGCTCAGGATTCACCTCTATCCCTTGATGAGTAACCAGAAATCCCAAGAATTTCTCCGAGCCGACCCCAAATGTGTATTTTGAAGCGTTTAATTTCATGTTGTACATTCGTAGAACATCAAATGTGCTTTTGAGGTTGGCACAGTGGTTTGTTGCTCTCCGACTCTTCACCACCATGTCATCAATGTAAACTTCTATTGTACTGCCTATCATATGTGAAAATATTTTATTCACCAACCTTTGATATGTTGTCCCAACATTCTTTAATCCAAATGACATTACTTTGTAACAGTACGTTCCATTCAGTGCTATAAAGGCAGTCTTTTCTTGATCTTTCTCTACTAGAGGGATCTAATGGTATCCCCAGTAGGCGTCCAGGAAACTCATCTGCTATGTCCAGCAATGGCATCTACCAACTGATCTATCTTCGACAAGGGGAAGCTATCCTTCGGACATGCTTTGTTTAGGTCGGTTAAGTCAACATAGACCCTCCACTTCTCATTTTTCTTCTTTACCATAACAGTGTTTGACAGTCAGGTCAGGTATTGTACTTCCCTAATTGTTCGAGACTTCAATAAATGTACCACTTCTTCCTTCACTGCCTCCTAATGTTGAGGCGCCGACCTCCTTAGTTTTTGTCTGATTGGCTTAAAGCTCAGGTCAACGTTCAACTGATGACATGCTATTTTGGATGGTACGCTGGACATATCAGTAGTGGTCCATGCAAAAACGTAGGCATATTCTCGCAAAAGGGTGACGAGCTCGATTTTTTGCTCGGGACTCAGAGCAATCCCTAACAAAAAGTATTTTTTGGGATCCTCATCCTTGTCTAAAGGTACTTTGGTCAAGTTCTCAATTGTTTGGTCCGTAACCTTTTTTTTTTCGGCGCCTAAAGGTACTTTAGGGCCTTCCTTGATAGCTTGATCGGTTGGTTTAACCGAGCTGTAAAAGGTTAATTGCTATTTCACCTCTTTGGATATTGAGTTCTTCTCGTGAGCTTCAACCCCCCCTTTGGTTTGACCGAGGCTAACAAACAAGTTCTGGCACTGACTTGGTCTCCTCGGATATTGACTACTCTTTCAGCTGAAAGGAATCTCAGCATCCGGTGATACGTTGAGGGTACCGCCTTCATTGTGTGTAGCCAGGACCGCCCCATTATCGCGTTATACGCTGAGACCGTATCCACTACCAGGAACTCAGTCATGATGCAAACTGGTCCTGTCTTTACAGGCAATGTGATCTTTTCCTTAGGAAGAACTATTTTTTCACTAAAACCGATAAGTGGACTATTTGAAGGCTTAAGATCCTCCTTCTTAAGTCCAAGTTTCTCAAATAGATCCAAATACATGATCTCTGACGAGCTCGCCAGATCAATCAGCACCTTTTTTACATCAAAATTTACAATCCGAAGCGTAACGACTAAGGTTCATTGTGCGGTTGGTGCACTCCGACGAAGTCCTACTCGGTGAAACAGATTGCTTCGGCTAAGTCCTCTATTTTGATTCTTTTGTTGGTCACCTCTGGGGTCAACCGCAACCCATACACCTCTCTCTCATTGGCAGTTTTTTGGATATAAGCCCGAGCATAATTATTCGTGGACATCTGCAGGTTGGTGGCTACATGGATCACATCAATCACTCATGTTGGAGTGTTGTGGTCCCCATTTGGCTCAGTCCTCCCTCTATCGGATTTTTGTTTACCTTCTATGAACTCGATGAGATGTCTAGCCTAGACCAGTTTCTCCAAATGTTGCTTCAAAGATCGGCAGTTCTCAGTCATGTGGCCCACATCCCTGTGATATGAACACTTGAAGTTTGAATTTCTTTTAGAAGGATCTCCTATTAACTTGTTCAACCATTTGAAAAACAACTTTGTCTTGATCTGGTTGAGTATCTTGTATATTGGTTCCTTGAACAATGTATTTATCCCCAAAAATGGGGACTTTTGAGGATATTCATCCTTCTCATTCTTTCTTTCTCCCTCTCTATTTGGCTCGGTCTGCTTGTCTCTACTGAACTGTCTCTTGCTCGGATGTTCTTTAACCCCGTCCCTGGAGCTTCTTGTGAGCGACTGATATAGGGGGTTCTCCTTTAGCAACCCGATCTTGAAGGATGTAACTGCAATCTCTAGATTGCACCCTTCAATCTCGTTCATAGTTTCCAAATAACGATGAGCGTACTCTTGTAGGCTTTCGTTATTCTTCTTCTTTAGCGTCAGTAGTGCTCCAACATCCTTCGGCTACTTACTACTCATTATGAATCAAGTTGTTAACTGCTCGGCTAACTGAGACCATCCATCGATCATTCCCTTCGATAGGCTGTCAAACCATTTCATGGCTGACTCCCCAAGACTGCTAGAGAAGATAGTATAGAATAAGGGCTCATTTTTTTTTTATGAATGGTCATCAGCTGTTTGTAATGTCTGATGTGCGAGGCTAGGTTGATCTTCCTATCATATAGTTTGAAGTTTGGGATGGTGAATTTGCTCGAAATTCGTCCCTTTTCGATCCAAACTGTAAATGGAGATGACTCCGAACTGTCTCCATATTCTTATGTCGCTCTTTTGGCTAGGTCCCTAGTCGACCTCTGTTCTGGTCTCCTTAAGCGACTATTGAGTTCCTTGGTAATTTATTGCTTCCACGCAACCTCTTCCTGAACCTAAGGTTTCTTTTGCTGGTGACAATCTTCATTGTTGCTTCTGATTCTGTCGAGCTTCCTTTCAAGAATTTCCCAATGGTTTTCCCTTGCACATTTTTCTTTCTTGGTCATCTCTTTTATCTTGGTTTTTAGTTCTTCATTTTCTTTGATTAGATCTTTCTCTATGGCATAAGAATTCATGAACAACTTGTCATGAGCGTCAAGTTAATCCTGTAAGGACTGAACCAACTTTACCAGGGAGTGATTTTTCCCCTCAAAACGGAGGGATTTACCACGATCTTCAATTTGATGGTTCTAATTCTTCGAGGGATTGAAACTGGCAGAGGACATCTCTTCACCTTTATGGGATCTAGATAGGCTTCCTCTTGCCTACAACCGCGTATTGCTACCAGGAGGAATGAATGCAGGATTAGAGTCTCCCAAGGCAAAATTGTCTTTGGGTGAACCAATTGCGCTTCTGAGTCTAGACATTGTGGTTTCTTGTTGTGTAAGATGAAAATTTTCCCACAGACGGCTCCAAATCTGAGAGGCAAAAAAATGAGAATACCTCCTACTGGAATTCAAATATCAATGTGTTTCTGAACTTGATCTCCCAGTCTTGCTGCAAAATGAACAAACTGCCCAAGATCGAAACGCTATGATCGAAGACACTCCGATGTTTAAGTCAGTAAAGATAATGAAACGAATGGAAGAAGAACAAGAGAGTTCAGCGTACCTTTCACCTTGGATTCCTCCGTTTTTTATAAATGGTCATCCTCTTAAGGTTTTTGTGATATTTGACTCAAAATGGCACACCCTCCTTTAATTCAGTAATTCAGTTTGGGAAGTTGCTGATATTTCTCCAACAATTCCTCTTGATATCTACAATTTCATTTATTCGTTTATCTGATTGACTAAATTATAGGTGAATCTTTATCTTTCCATCTATCGTTTTGAACATCTCGGACATATCGAACGCCGAATACTTTTGGTATTCGTCGAACAGTTTTAGGGACTTGGTTTGGCATAAATCATTCTCTTCGATCGCTTTCCCGAACACTTTAATATGCTCGGCTTGGTACAAGCCGAGCTCTTTCCTTGTTTTTATGAACAGAATGATGAACTCGGTTATAAAGAGAATCGAACTTCTTCTTTTCTTTCTGAACTCGTCCTTAGCTCGGCTTAATTAGAAGGCTTAATAGAGAATTTTTCATCACGTGTCTTGCTTCGTCAACATCACGTGAGAATATTTAATGACATATCACGTGTAATCATGAGGTTTAATCCTTTCATTAAACTTATGATGTAATATCTAAATATGAGCAAAAAAATAATTTAGATAACTCTTGACCAAATTTTTATCCAGATTTTGATCAAATAACTACTCAAATTATACAATTTTGATCATGAGCTATCTAAATTTTAGTCAAAATTTACCTAAATTTTGGTCAAAAATTACCTAAATTATTTTTTTATCTATATTTAGGTATCACATTACAAGTTTATGATATAAAACCGTTAATAATTTAGACGTTGTCTACTTAAGAAATTACATAGAAAACATGTTTAATAATTTAGAGACCAAAATAATGTAATTAAAATATTTAAAACTGACATAAAATAAACTCTATACTTTGAGACCTCTAGTGCAATTACCCTTCAATGAACAAAGAAGGACCTCCCACATTATATATAGCCTATCTTTTAGCGTTAAGGCTACCTCTCTTTCTTCCTCCTTCCTTCTCCCTGTGTGTGTAAATGAGCAGTATTGGTACTCTTCAATTCCGTTGTCTTTTATAGACTTTGTTTATATCCACTCTTCAACACCTTTCTGAGAAGAAAGATAGTGAACTATATAGTGCCATCATCATTAATCATCAAACATGTCGGTCAATATAACCTCCGTAAAAACATCCTCCGATGGAATTTGGCAAGGTGATAATCCCCTAGATTTTGCATTTCCTTTGTTGATTGTCCAAACCACTTTGGTTTTCGTTGTCAGTCGCTTCCTTGCCTTCCTTCTCAAACCCCTCCGGCAACCCAAAGTCATTGCAGAGATTCTGGTATGTTTGTTTCCACCCCCTCTCATAATATCTGTTTTGATAATTACAAGAAAAGTTATATTATGACATCCTCAGCGCATGAGATTCCCATTATTACGGAGTTTGAATTAGATGTTTCCAACCTTACTCCTACAAACATAGAAGCAAATTCATACCGAAAAACTCAAATTTAAGTCTAATAATGTCCCTTGTTTGGGATTGGGCCCTCTTTCTAACTTCTCTTCACCTCTATGTAAATGCATTATTTCGATATTATACGAATTGATTATTCATTGTAATAGAGATATCAAGATTTCTATCATTGCCATACAAATTTTTCTATTGTTTCTTCACTTTTTCTTTATAAATTTATGGTTTCTTACCATCCAAAATATTTTTTTTTATTTCCTTGATTATGAGTTATAATCTCTTGTTGACTGATAAAATTTGATTCAGGGTGGAATTCTTATGGGGCCATCAGCTTTTGGAAGAAACCAAGAATACATGCACCGAATATTTCCAAAATGGAGCACACCAATCCTCGAATCAGTTGCAAGCATTGGTCTCCTCTTCTTCCTCTTCCTAGTAGGTCTTGAGCTGGATCTCAGCTCAATCCGCCGGAGTGGCCGAAGTGCTTTAGGCATAGCGGTAGCCGGAATTTCTCTCCCCTTCATCCTAGGCAATATCATCGCCTTCGTCCTCCGAAAAGCCATCGACGGAGCGGATAAAGTCGGCTATGTCCAATACATAGTCTTCATGGGGGCTGCTTTATCCATCACAGCCTTCCCAGTTCTTGCGCGCATTCTAGCCGAACTTAAATTATTGACCACTCGTGTGGGTGAGACCGCCATGGCCGCCGCCGCTTTCAACGACCTCGCCGCCTGGATCTTGCTCGCCCTCGTCATCGCCTTAACCGGAAACGGCTCAGGTGGGACCCACAAGAGCCCATTGATAGCTATATGGGTTTTACTCTCAGGTGTTGCGTTTGTTGCTTTCATGATGGTTTTCATCAGGCCAGCCATGAAGTGGGTGGCTCGTCAATGCTCGCCGGAGCACGATACCATCAACGAAGCCTATATATGCTTAACCCTCGTTGGAGTAATGGTGTCCGGGTTATTAACTGACCTTATTGGAATCCATGCAATCTTTGGTGCGTTTGTTTTCGGATTAACGATACCTAAAGGCGGTGAATTTGCTCAGAGATTGATAGAGAGGATTGAGGACTTTGTGACTGGTCTGTTGCTTCCATTGTACTTTGCTTCAAGTGGGTTGAAAACGAATATATCTAAAATAAACGGAGTGGAGGCGTGGGGGTTGCTGGTGCTGGTTATCACGGCGGCATGCGGCGGAAAAATTATCGGGACGTTTGTGGTGGCGATGTTGTGTAGGATACCGGTGAGAGAATCCTTGGCGCTTGGTGTGCTGATGAATACTAAAGGACTGGTAGAGCTCGTTGTTCTCAACATTGGAAAAGAGAAGAAGGTATGTTGTATGCATTTCTGCATTTTGTTTTGATTTTTGGTAACTTCCACTGCATAGATTCGATTTGAATTCGAATAGTTGAACAGTTATTTTTACTGTTTATAAAAATCCGAATAGCAGTGTATTAAGTCATATTTTACCGGTTTTGATTGTGATTTACCCATTTTTGACCCAAATTATACAAATATGTAAAAGTATACTGTGCAAGTTATTGATTATTGGAGATAACTCGCCCTTAAATATACCATACAATGTAAATAATTTTGAGAAAGATGTTGCTGACCGTTGGATGAATCTATTTAAAACCGTCAAATAAACTTATTAAAAATTATCCTATTTTTTATTATAGATGTGCTAATTCATTGTCGGCCTCAATTTTATTTTATTTTTTTTTCTTGTTTTTTATGTGTAAGATTTCTCCCCATTTTAATAGCAATATTTGTAAGATTTCTCCCCATTTTAATAGCAATATTTCTACCTTGTTACCAATAGTTTACACGTTTTTCCCATGTTGACTTTAGGAAATATCATTTTTATTTTAAATCTTACAAAACAAAAGTAATTTATTGGGAATTCTGTCTTTCAATCACATTTACAATTGAGGGCACAATTTGGTGCAATATGATCATCCACGTCTCTAACATTACATTTTTATTCTTTTTTTTTATATTCAATATATCACCTCTTTTATTAGTCATACGATTCTATCAAAGATCGACATAAATATTCACATTTTCTAAAAGAGATGTGTTGTGACAATCCTAAGTCTAATTTTATAACTTCTTCTCCTGAAATAACAGAGCTGTAAAAATATGTCAAAAATAATATTCACGACATTTCACTATGCAAATGAGCGTAGGACAGGACACTTTTATTTGTGACACTTTTGAAACATTTTTAGTAACTGTCATCTGTTTAATAATCATTTTACGTATGACTAATGTGTGGATAATCTAACAAAGATCGACATAAATATTCACCTTTTTTAAAAGAGACATGCTATGACACCACTCTTCTAGTTAAGTCTAATTTTATAGTTTTTTGTCTTAAAATAACAATATTGTAAGTCACCCTCGATGTTTGATGTAAAATTGAATAGATTTCAGTTGGGCCACTTCTGAATCCTGAATAGATATGAAATGAAGCAAAATTAACCAAATTCATTTCATCAATCGTACCTTCAATCTCAAATCTTTCAATGTGAATAAATCTAAAGGCACATGTCAATAATAAAGGCCATGGGGTCTGGGGCATCTCTCTATAGTAGAAGAACAAAGTCCATTACTAAATCTGCTATCGAAAAATAAATTTTCAGTACAAGTATTATTATCTTGAAAAGTCTATTTATTTTATCATTTTACTATTTATTTTTGTCACGATCAATTACAGTCTAGTAAAAATAATAGGCCTCTCCACAGACCAAGGACCAAGAAATCTAGATTATACTATAAAGCATGACATTGACTATGTTCGTTCATCTTCTTAGAGAAATAGGTGAGTCGGTGGGTGGGTGGGTGGGTGAAGAACAGATTTGAGTCCCTCACGTTTTGTTCACTCCTGATAAAAGTTGAATTATCTTTCTTGTCCTCTCTTGTGGGGGCACAGAATATGCCTACTGCTCATCTTTTTCTTACTTTTCTTGCTTTATTCTTTCTTTTTCCCATTTATCTCAAATCACTTTAAATAATGATTGTACTAATTAGTTTCACTTGAGAAATCTCAAACTGATATTAATTTTATAATTTCTATGCTAAAATATAGTGAATGACTCATATTCATTTGTCTTTTTGATCTGGCCTAAAACACATGGCCGGATGAGTGAAAATACGAAAAGAGTATTACTTATTTTTTGACTATTTTTATTGATCGAAAAATCTATGACTTTTGAATAATCAAAAAAAAAATCAAGTCAAAAAATAAAGATGAAAGTGGAAAAATACCTTCATCAGCAAAGTGGACCCCAACTCTCTCTACGAAAAAAGGCTTCTACAGATCTTGCCTTTACTAATATGAAGTGTGTGTGTGTAATGTTAATTTCACCCAAAAAAAAAAAAAATGCTGAAATTTTAGTTTCATATATGTGTGTGTGTGTGTGTGTGTAAAACATCTGAAAATTTGTTTCATTTTCATATTTTTGTACTGATATTAAAAACCTAAAATTGATTGATGAGAGTTTCAATTGATTGACAGGTCCTTAATGACGAAGTGTTTGCAATATTAGTCCTCATGGCACTCTTCACCACTTTCATGACAACTCCAACAGTGCTGGCTATCTACAAACCAGCTCGCCACAACATCTCCTCCTCCTCCTCCTCCTCCAGCAGTAGTCATCGTCGGCTACAACCTGCCTCTGAAAGCGTCAAGGACGAGCTCCGAATCCTCGCCTGCGTCCACGGTCTCGGAAACATCCCTTCCCTCATCAACCTCATTGAGTCGACTCGGTCCGTTAACAAGTCCCGCCTCAAACTCTATATCATGCACCTTGTCGAGCTCACCGAACGATCCTCCTCCATTGTTCTGGTCCAACGTCTCCAAAAGAACGGTTTTCCGTTCATTAAGCGGTTCCGGAGAGGCGAGTTACATGACCGAGTCGTCGTGGCGTTCCAAGCATACGGCCAAGTCGGCCGAGTCAGTGTTCGAACCACAACTGCCATATCAGCATTGCCAACGATGCATGAGGATATATGCCACGTGGCGGAAGATAAGAGCGTTGCTTTGATTATATTGCCGTTTCACAAGCAGTGGAAAAAAACTAACGGTGATGATGAAGTGGTCAATCTGGGCCATAGCTGGAGAGAAGTTAATCAGAGGGTGCTAAAGGATGCACCTTGTTCGGTGGCATTGCTTGTGGACCGTGGATTTGGTGGTGGGTTCCAGAAAACTCCAGGGCCCACTGCCAACGTGGCACAAAGGGTCTGTGTTATTTTCTTCGGTGGGCCCGACGACAGGGAGGCTTTGGAGTTAGGTGGGAGGATGGCTGAACATCCCGCCGTTCAAGTGACGGTTATAAGGTTCATTGAGAAAGAAGGAATTGAGATTAACGGAGTCATATTACGGCCATCACCGAATAAATGTGGAGAAGAGAGCTGTAGCTGCTCAACTTCTCTCATGAATCGGGAAAGGAAAAGGCAATCCCTCTATCTCTCTCTCATGTATGTAGCTACCTATATGTACGTACTACATGCATATTAAAATTAGTTTTTCAGATTCGATTTTTAAATCAAATCTAAATAATATTTTCTTAAATTTCAAACTAAAAACCAAATCGAAATGGAACGTGGGTGCATCAGGGCCAGCATATTGGACAGGCCAGACATTCAAATAAGAAACCAAGAAGAAAAGTAGAAGCTGGGTCCATTAGGGGCCGACCGTGACAGCCCACTAAGGATCCATTAGCTGGCCCATTTAAAATCCATGGGCCTAGACTTTTCTAGTAGATTGGTCTTGTCTGTTGTGCACCCTTAGATTTAGGTTACCTTCGGCCCTAATTCCTTGAATTTCTTTAGTATTATAATAAATCATCTTATGGATAAATTACACTTTACCCTCTAAACTATTACACTTGTTTCACTTTACATCCTTAATTGTAAAATTTCTCACATTGCACCATAAAATATCAATTTTGTTTCATATCACTTCAATAATAACGGTAAACTTGAAAATCTATCAAATGAGAAAGGAGAATCCCAAAGAGCTTCCTGTCAAGTGCTTAGTACCACTTTATTTTATCTCTTTTACAACCAAATGGTTGTTAGAACAAAAAAGAAGGTCAGTCAAGGAAAGAAAATTTAGAGCTTATAAAGGGTAAAGTCATGAATATGTATTTTTCTTGATTTTTGACCAGTACATGTACAATAAACAATTATTTATTTATAGTATAGATTACCCACATGCGCATTTACCGTAAAAAAAGTGACATTCATTATCAATTGAAGTGATACAAAATAAAATTAATACTTTAGTGGAAAATGTGAGAAATTTTACAGTTGAAGGTATAAAATAAAATAAGGGTAATAATTCAAGTGGGTAAAATATAATTTACCATCATCTTAAGAAACTCACTTATTGCAATAAAGCATTGTTAATATCCTACCATGCACCTAGTTATGCTCGATTCTCGTATTGGTGTAAATCAGGAGCTTGATGAGAGAGCAGTGGCTGAGTTCCGAAGGAGGTGGGCAGGGATGGCGGACTACATAGACAAGGGGGGAAGCAACATTGTCGAGGGGTGTTGGCAATAGGCAGAAGCGGAGACTACGACCTCATAATAGTTGGAAAAGGCCGGCGTCCCTCAATCATGGTGGCAGATCTGGTCGATCGCCCAGCCGAGCATGCCGAGCTAGGGCCTATAGGAGATGTCTTGGCCTCATCAGGTCAGGGCATTGTGTCTTCTGTGCTTGTGGTTCAACAACATGATATGGTGTCATGCAGAGGAGATCCCACTGACCAAGATTGTCCATAGTGAGGAGAACACAATCAAGTCCCACGAGCCATATAGTGTGGTTTAGAAATGGCACCTATGAGTTTAAGTGACAAGAAATAATTGGTATGTATATGATTGCTAACGCAATTCGTTTCTATCCAGAGAATATTGGAGACTTGTAGTTATGATCGTAATTTATGTGATTTCTTTCTCCATCTTTGTCATTCTCTTCTCAATGTTGGAGAGAGAAAAAGAGATCATCTACTCCAACATATTTTCTTCATTTTCTTCTTCTCATATGTTGTTGGAAGATTCAGTAAAATCTATAATATAAAATAACATGGCTTTAACAAACTCATCATACGGGCTTAAATCCCTTCATCCAATGATCAATAATTTAACATTTTTTCCTTTATTATTTTCCCCCAAATTCCATCACATCACTGATTTCCTCTCTCACCCTCACTCTAGATGCATGATTTCTCTATTAAGGCTTCTCTCTCACTCTCCACCATCACCCCTTCCCAGTTCTTTGTATCTCTCTCTCTCTCTCTCTCTATCTATCTATCTATCTACCCACGATCTACCATAACCATAGCCCCCATCACCCCTTCATCCTCTCCCCTCGCCACCACGCCAACCCACTCTGGAGACCCATCTCAGCAACGACGATTTGCCATCACCACATCCCCACCCTACCCTTCTCCTTCTCTCTCTTTCCCCTCTTTCCCGTCTACGCAACCCACTCCCAAACAGTACCCACATAACACAACACACACACTCGCAGAACCACCTCCTCCCTCTTCTCCGTCTGTGCAACCCACCCCTAAAACAATTCCCACATAACACACACACACACTCTCGTAGAACCCCTTCCTCTTACCCTCTGCACAACCCCCTCCCCCCCACCCACAAACTCGCAGAACCACCCCCTCTCTCTTCTTCGTCTATCCAACCCACCCCCCAAACAATTCCTATAGGACACAACACAAACACACACACACACACACACACACTCATAGAGCCCCCTCCATCTTACCCCTCTAAACAACCCCCTTAAACAATACCCACATAACACACACACCCCTTTACCAAGGATGGAGCCAGGATTTTTGTTTATTTCGGGCTAAGCTAAGCATTTATACGACTAACAAAATACAAATGTAAACTCATAAACATATATTCAATAATACAAATGTAAACACATAAACACTTACTAATGAAATTGAACTCTTCGATCCTTCCTAGAACAAAAGGCATCTATTAATGATTTTCAAGAAAGCCAAACAAAACTAAGCATTCCCAATTGTTGGTGATACATTCATAAACACAAATTTTCATTGAAAACTCAAAAAGTTTGACTTTTTGAACCAAAAGGGATTGTTATGTTAGACAAAATGCATCGGCTGGTGTTCAGAATTATTCAAATAAGATGCTTCTACTTAGTAACCCAAATCAACAACCATCGAGAGTGTCAATACAAATGAAACAATTACAAATCAAAGTGTGAATCAATCAAATAAAATTTCATTTCAGCCCAATTAACTAGAACCCATTACTAATGGGCCATTAGAGTTATGCTACAATAAACAAATCAAAATCACCATTTAGAATCAAAATTCCAAAAGAAAATTACTGACCTGTCATTGCAGCAACAATGGGCTGGACTAGCTGCAATGTGTGGAGGAGATGGAGCACCCTTTTTGGCTCTAAAGCTCTCTTCCTCTCTATTATATGTAGCTTCCACCGCAGTTTTAATGGTGATGAACAAGATTCAACTGTCTCAGAACGAGTTAAATATAATTTCAACCTTAGAAGATGCTCCGGCACTTTGCAATTGTTAAACTCTCAGATGAGGCCTGTGTAATTTACCCACAGACAAAAGATTCACCCAATCAAAGCAATACATCTTGAACAAATAAAGATGAATCAAAATAGATTTCTCCATATCGTCAAACCCTGAACCTTACTCTATACAAGGGACTGAAAAATTCTAGGTAAAGACAAAAAACAAAATTAATCCGAATTGATCTACCAAAAACAACGAATAGATAGAAATTAACACCCAAGATTTAAAATATAACAATCAAAGACTGATCAGATAACTGATAAAATCATAAAAAAAATATACCGACTGTGTATTGACAGAGAAAGAAATACCAGAGCAAGTCTTTTTGGGTGGTGAGCTTGTAAATCAAGATGACGATCCCAGCGACATGAATAGCTTCAGAGGCAACGAAGAAATTGGTGTAATCTTTGACCAGAAGTCTGAGGGACTCTCAGCTAGCAAAAGAACAAAGAAACGCTTCGAGGTTCTATCTCTAGATAGAGCATACCCACTTCCTTTGCTTGGTACAATGCTCAATCAATAAGTTTCCTAAAAAGTAGAGTCTGCTGTGTGGTGGCCAAAGCATATGGAGGAGCATGAAAAACAAAGGAGGCCTGTTGGGAGGGTGGGCAAGGAGCATCAAACCACTGTCGCCAAATCAAACCACCCAGAAACCAGGGTGTTTGCGCAGAGGGACTTGCCGACGCCGCCTGGCCGGGGATTTGGGGAAGCAACTCGCCACCTGTGTGTTGCTATGGAGCCATTGCTTGTCCGAAGATTTGGAAAAGTGACTCGCCTGAGAGAGAAGAGACAGGAAATAGGGGAAGTGATTGAGAGAGATCGATTGATTTTGGGGATTTGTAGGTGGGCTGGGTTGGGTTGGATGGGATTTTTTTTTTTTTTTTTTTTGGGGGGGGGGGTGGGGGGGGGGCTAGTACTTAGTGGTAAATATATATATATCTTTTTTACTCTGGGCTTCAGCCCACCTAAGCCCACTAATGGATCCGTCCTTGCCCCTTACCCCCAATTCTCTGCTTTCTGTCAAACCCTCTGTTTTACCTCGTAACTCTCTTTCTCTCATACTTGATCATTGAGGCCTTCTTGATCCATACTTCTGTGAGGACTATAATCTACCTCAGAAATAACTCTGATAAGCTACGTTTTTTCCAAAGAAAATTAGTTTTTATGTTTCTTTTACAAATTTTTGTTTTTCATGGGTTTTTGAATGGATATTTTGTTCCAAATTGAAAAGTTTGAAATGGGTTGCAGTTGAATAGACTAATTCTTCATAGGTAATTTTTTGTTGTTGAATGTTTCTACATATTTTGCACCCACACCCATAAGCACACGCACAGACACAAAAACAAAAAAAAAAAAAAAAAGAGAAATGGTTTCTACAAAAGTTAAAAGAAAACCCAAAACTCCATAAGTCGATAACTTTTGGTAAGATGATTAAAAAAATGAAATAATGAAGTAATTACAAAATGCGAATTTTACAATTACTTTAGGTGAACTCGGTTTCATTAGATGTAATTTGAATTTGATTTGATAAGATTCAATAAATTTCGTAATTACTTTATGTTCGATTTTGGTGCAAATTTTGTAGTTATTTTAGATTTGATTCAAAATTTTGGGATTGCTAATTGGATTTCTTCTGCTTGAATTGAATTAGTAATTGCATCACTTAGGTTACTTTAGATGTGAATAATTACGTTGTGTATCTTTCGATTTCAAATAATTAGTTGAAGTCCTCATTATTACTTTTTACACTCACATCTTCTGACTTACATATTGGTATAATATGTGGTACATTTGATACGTTCGCGAAACTATCTATCAATTTAAACTATAGTAAAAATTTCCTTTAGTTCTATGGAAAAATTTCCTTAAGTGACTTTATTCATCAAAGTTTCGGCATAAGGATAATTATGAATTTGAATATTCTCTTGTTTTGTGATATTTTTAACTGCCCATTACGAAGAAATTATGTTCTGCCCCACTTCGTCGTTGTTAGCATCCTCACTTTTATACATAGGCTTGATTTTTTTGCAATTCAGTAGTTGATTACTAAGTTTTTTTTATTCATAGTACTTGGACATTTATTAAGTGAATGACATCATATACTTTTCGTGTATGCGAATTTTACAATTACTTTAGGTGAACTCGGTTTGATTAGATGTAATTTGAATTTAATTAGATAAGATTCAATGAATTTTGTAATTACTTTATATTTGATTTTGGTGCGAACTTTGTAGTTATTTTTGATTCAACTCGAATTTTGGGATTGCTAATTGCATTTTTTCTGCTTGAATTGAATTGGTAATCACATCACTTTAGGTTACTTTAAGTGTGAATAATTACTTTGTGTATCTTTCGATTCCAAATAATTAGGCGAAGTTCTCATTATTATTTTTCACACTCACATCTTATGACTTATATAGTGGTATAATATGTGGTACACTTGATACGCTCGCGAAACTATCCATCAATTTAAACTACAGTAAAAATTTCCTAGTCATGAAAAAATTCCTTCAGTGACTTTATTCATGAAAGTTTCGGCTTAAGGATAATTATGACTTTGAATATTCTATTGTTTTGCAAGATTTTTAACTGTCCATTATGAAGAAATTATATTTTGCTCCACTTTGTCGTTGTTAGCATCCTCACTTTTATGCATAGGTTTGAGTTTTTCGCAATTTAGTAGTTGATTACTAAGTTTTTTTTATTCATAGTACTTGGACATTTATTAAGTGAATGATATCTTATACCTTTGATGTATGCGTAATGACTTTAATTATCATAGATTTTATGATTTTACAGTTTCAGTTTGAATATATATTATATGATTTAGATATTATAATTCTTTATTTTTATTTAATGGATGGTTTAATGAGTGCAAAAATTTGGATATTGTTGGCATGCCATAGTGGTAGTAGCATATTTTTCAAACTTACATGATTCCATAGTCTATATATGTTCCCTTGATCACTTCTCCATGGACTCACTTTTATGTCTGCACATTTTTAATATCACTTAGTTTTTTTTTTCTTCAGTGTTAATGAGAGAAGAAATTAGTCCTTTTTTTGTACAAAGTGATAAAATGGGTAATCATTTGTGAGGGAGAAGGCTTTAATAAAGAGAGCAATTTAGAGAATGATATATTGTTCATTGATTTTTTTATTCTGGTATGTACATTGTTCATTGAAATTTG